GAAGGCCACGCGCCATCCCACCTCTGTGCCCCAGTTGATCAGGAAACCAGGTTAATCCGGAACCACCTGGCAAAATCACCTGACTGTGTGAACGGTGAAAATGAATAGAATATCCACCTCCAACATCTTCAGAGCAATCTGACAATTACATTATCTGCCACACATAAGTAACCGATCAAAGAACAGTACGTACTGTCCGCGCACTGTGAGTGCAGACGTCGATGGTGTTCATTGATCATTCCTATATCACACGACGGGCGGATTAGGAACCATTATTCATGGGTGGAGGAGATTTTGAGGGGTGGCATGCATCCCCTGGCAGAAGTATATTAGACCCTCCAGAAAAACGCCGATTCTGCGATCGGCAGAATTTACCGCAATGACCTCAGGCAAAAGGCGCAGACTTTTAAAAGGCCGCATATTTATTCAAGGCCGCATATCCCCGCATTTTTCCACACAAAAGTGAGAGAAACAAAAAGTTAACTCGTCTGACGTTGACGCTCACAGCGTCGCGCCATCACAGAATGTAAACAACCACTGGATGTGAGAGTGACAGCGTGTGGAAGCGTCACACGAGTAGAGAAAACACCAGATTGAAAAAATCGAATCCATCTACATTTACCTGACGAACATTTCTACTAAAGACCGGGCAAAAAAGTGGGGGGAAAACTATTCTGCACCCCGTGCAACTTGTGTGTTGGACCCTCATACTGCTATATGGGTTGGAGCATAAGAAAGAATTCGACGGTGAGCATCAACCTCCAAATACCCTTTCTGAGGGCTACAAAAACGAAGTGAGGAGCCTCCCAAGATTGAAGCTGATCACATTACGATCTGAGTAAATGGACAACAAGTAATGAGGGCTCGAGAAGTGTGTGTGTGTGTGTGAAGCGCTAGCGCCATGCGTCAGAGCATTGACTTGATCCAAAATAGACAATTGCACCTAGTTTACCATTAAATAAACATATGAATGTGTTCAATTGAATAGTAAAGGGTATAACGTAAGTGGCAGGGTTGATAGTATGAGATGAAGAGTTTAAATAAGCAGGCATCAAATATTCAGAAACATAAATTGTTTATTTCTTATTGCCCCGCAGTCCTGCATAGATTCGGTCACACCCCTGCATGGTCTAAGAACTTGCGACAATATTCAACGCATAGCATACAATAAAACCGAAGCCGCATTTTTAATCGCATATCAAGGATTTTGCCCGAATAATCAAGGAATTCTAGCCCGCATAATCAAGGATATTAGTCTGCCAGCATTATCAAGGAATTTACAGCATAAGCAAGTATTTTTTGCCATGTAAGCGCGTGTTTTCTTGAGGGTGATCTGAAGTATATGTGCACATGATTTAAGGAGAGTCGCAGTCATATCAATGTTAACTTGGAAAAGCCACACAATATTAATATTTTAACTCATGAGACAATTAAGGTGACATTATTTTTGGCACATCAGTAAGAGCCTTACATATAAATTATATAAGGTGGCAGACTTAATTTAATGAATTTTAACTGAACAATAACTGAATGAGTTTTTTTCACTCTAGACCAGCAGGTGTACGCAATCCTATGCAGACCTGCTGCAATAAGAACATTAATTAACTGTCCTCGTCTATGTTTGTCCTTGAATTATAATGATACTATTTTAACAATCATATTATTCCTATCAGCTGTCAAATCCTGTTATGATTCACGTATATCTCATTAATTATTATTGAATAAACTAACTATGTTTTTTGGAGGATTAATGATGAATGCTCCTCAAGAATGCTTGCTCGACAACTCACTTCAAATCTTGAGAAATAATTAGCGTTCACACACCTGCCTTGTATAGGTCCTGGTTGAATCGAACCCTGGTGCGTTTACGACCTCTTGGTGCGGTTTATAGAGAGTCGAGAAAAAAAACAGATGTGAACACAGTCCGAGAGACCTCTTACTAACAAGCGGACTCTGGTCCGCTAAAAATAGGTGGTCTCGGAGCTCTTGCTTGCCAAACTCTGGGAGCGATTCATTTGCTCTGGTTGGTGAAGCGCAGTCCGCACCACAAACCATAGGAAGCGTATGTATCTTACATGTCACAAGAATGCGGATATCTCAAAATCTTTAAGCGAAAGAGTCTTTCAAGACATCCGGCGGTTGTTTGTAGTCATTAAGAGTGAAGCAAGTAATTAAGTGGTGTTAATGTGAAACAGTGTCGTGTAAAGTAAAAATTCTCCGTCAGCTACATAAAAGTAAGAACACCTGGTCGTCGGTGAAACACTGACTTTTTACACAGTAAAAGTATATTCAATGTATTGTAAGTAGTTAGGCTAACTAATACAAAGTCAAACACAGTTATCAATATCATATAAGAACTTATGGGTAAAATTGGTCTTTTATCACTCATCACAAAGATAAGCAGAAAACATGCATTAGTGTAACTATGGGAGGGGACTCTGACAGAGGATTACTCACAAAGTACACAGTAAAGTACTTCCTTTTATTTCTGGTAGCAGTCAACTAGTACCGAGTCCAACAGTATCAGTTTTATTCAGAACTTCTGCTAAAAAATATTTGTATCACTCATTGAATATAGCAGGAAACAAAATGAAGAGTGCAGAATCGCTGTATGGTTTAAATCTCCTTAGTTACAATGTTGTCCATTTTAGACAAAGGCTTATTATATTTACAGCCCTAATAACATTCATTTTCTGGGCTCAATATGTCTCTTGGCTGTTTTCGTTGTGATCGCTAAATTCACCTTGTTTATAATATTATCACTATAACACTGACCCAGATCGCTGGATCGCTAGAAAACCGCTGTCATCTGGTTGGCAAGGGCTGTTCCATGCTCTGCTCAACCTCCCGGCGGGAGGCTCCCGCCTTCCCCAATGGACTCAGTAGCGCCCCCTGCTGCCGTGGAGCATGTGCCAGCCACGGCGGAATATTACTGCCAAAAGTCACTTTTTGGCAGTAATAAGAAGAAAGAGTTTTGTAGTTGTAAAAACAAGTTTTGTACTTGTAAAAAAAAGTGTTGTAGTTGTAAAAGAAATGTGTGTACTTGTAAAACCTATGCTGAATTTGTCTCTGAAACATCATTTATTAGAAAAATGTTATGCGTTTGTTTGATAGATACGTTTTTTCTTTGCAAAACTAAATGCATTAGTTTGTAGATGGTGTTTTGTATTTGCAAACCACATTGTGTTTGTTAGTGAATCATGAGGCATTTGTAAAACCTGTTTAGTTTGTTTGTGGAGTTATGGCAGGAAATTAGCTCCATAGAATGCACCCTGAAATGCTTCAACAACCACAACATTGTTTTGCTGCATGACATGAATACAGAGGCAGCAAAACCTTTCACGAGACATTCATAACACATTAACTGTGATGTCATCCATCAAGCTAACATCTGATTCAACCTATTCCTTTTCCTCTGCAGTTATGCATTTAGCAGAGCTTTTATTTGTGTCTTCGCTCTCTGTGGCCACCTTCGCCCTCGACAATGGACTAATGAGGGTCCCTCCCATGGGCTGGCTGGCATGGGAACGATACCGCTGTGACATCGACTGTGACCACGACCCCAAGAACTGCATCAGGCAAGCCTACATAATATTAATAGAGCACACTGTGATTTCACTAGAGCTTTCCTTTTAAAAGCAGGGGTTATTTCACCTTGTCACCAACTTTTGCATTATCGAAATTCCGTCCATTCCGATAAGCCACCCTGAACTGGCACTTATATACTTCTTCTGTACATGATAACTTATTTTAAAATGTAGCATGTTGGCAGACATTGCTGCTGAACAATCAGAATAATGGTTTCCTGTCTGTTTTATTTTACTACAACCATCATATTTAAGTTTTGATGTGGGGCTCCGGGAAACCAAAAAAGTTTAGTGGAAAACTACATTTGCATTCAAACATTTCCATTTTCCTAGAATTTATATTATTTTAAGAATTTTAAATGTCAAAATGTGTTTATTCTTAAGCTTGAGAACCTTTTTTTGTAACAATGAGTGCAATTCATAAGCCAAACCACTTATTTGTATAAAAATTACTTCACAAACTACAGGAGAACAAGTTTTACTTTTATGATATTATTATTTTACATTTGCTTTTAAGATGTGTTTACTCGACCTCACACGTAATGAGCTGTTCTGTCTTCCCTCCAGTGAGAATCTGTTCATGGACATGGCAGACCGACTGTCGGAGGACGGCTGGAGGGAACTGGGCTACGTGTATGTGAATATAGATGACTGCTGGTCCTCCATGAAGAGGGACGACAATGGACGGCTACAGGCTGACCCCAAAAGGTAACGGTGCAGTGTGTTCTGTCTACACACACACACACACACGCACGCACGCACGCACGCGCGCACGCGCGCACACGCGCGCGCACACACACACAGGAGCTGTTTCCTCAGTGCAAATATTAATCTGTAACTTATTGGCTTGTAAGTCAATAAAACAGTCCAACAAGGTGATTACAATGTGACAGTCATGCAATCATGTGACTGAAAATGTTGTACATTTGTAGTCAGTAGTTTCACAACTCTGCGGGGTATATAAGTTATTATATGCAGCACCAGCATATGTACAAAGAAGACATTGTTGAAATTTGGAGGTTAAAAAACAAACACATTAAAGCACAAAAAACAATGATATAGTACTTATAAGCTTAAAATGAAAAACTGTAGGCTTTGTCAATTTAGAGATTCACTATTTGAGTGGAAAATATCCTCTACCGTATTGGTTCAGGCATAACACTATGTTTTTAGTAAGATTTTATTTTTGTTTGATGTACTTTTTTTGTGTACTTACTTCAATTGTGTATACTAACTTCAATGTGTATACTAAATTTGTATATGTGTATACTTTAGTTTGAATATTTTGTATGTTTGTATTTCGTATTCTATAGAGCTACTCTGTACTTATGTATATATTTACTGTTTTTTTATTTTCTACTGTAAATACTTAAATAATTGCTTTTTGTGTTTATTTCACATTTTATCTTAATATTTGATTCATGTGCAATGCATTGTTTACATGCTGCCGTGACAAAACAATTTCCCAATTTGGATCTATCAAGTAAATATTTTCTTTACTATATTAAAAAAGGAGTGCCTGAGACTGTACGCTGTGTAATTGGTATATCGTTCCAACTGCCCTTTTTTGCACTCCTTCAGATTCCCAGGAGGCATCCATAAACTGGCACGCTACATGCATGACAGGGGTCTCAAGCTGGGCATCTACGGGGACATGGGCACACACACCTGCGGGGGCTACCCGGGGACAACACTGGACAAGATAGAGTTAGACGCTCAGACCTTTGCCGACTGGGAGGTGGATATGTTTAAATTTGATGGTTGTTATTCTAACGCCACAGAGCAAGAGCAGGGTAAGAGACGAAGAAGGGACCTTTACATCGTATTTAATGAGATGAAGCTGACTTGATTTGACTCTTGTTCCTCTCTTGGACAGGTTACCCTCTAATGTCAAAGGCTTTAAATGCTACTGGCCGTCCCATTGGCTACTCCTGCAGTTGGCCTGCCTACCAGGGGGGCCTACCACCTAAGGTATAATCATCTCAAAGTATAACATAATTCAGGTCATTGAAAAATATCCCCAGTGGAAGTAGACTGTTTTGAGGAATTTGTTGTAATAATTTAAATCCAAATATCATTGATTCACTTTTTTGTGAAACTGAATTTTGTTTTTAGGTAAACTACACGCAGTTGGGTGAGATCTGCAACCTGTGGCGTAACTATGGCGACATCCAGGATTCCTGGGACAGTGTGCTGAAAATTATTAACTGGTTCTTTGAAAACCAAGATGTCCTGGGACCTACAGCTGGACCTGGAAAGTGGAACGACCCTGATATGGTTTGTTCAACTGTTTAATATATAACATATTTACTCTTTACTATTTTCTATTCA